CTTAGATTACAGATAACTTTAATATCATTTAATGACTTTTTCATATGAAAAACTTTCTATAAGCATTTTAGAGTTTCATTTCCTTGTGATAGAAAAGTTGTGAAAAGGTCCTATCAGTCCTGTTTTGAGGACATAAAGCAATAATAGTCACTTTTTAAAATTAATTTTATTTTCAATTTTAAAAAGACCATAAACACTTATTAAAAGGGAATAAATAGAAACATGCAAAAATGTGAGTCCCAATTTAAGCATGACCTGAGGAGTTACAAACTTCCAAGTATTCTCTCAGCTAATCAATGAGTTTTAGGGGGCACTGAAGATAACTCATGCACTGAAATTTTCCAGTTTAACAAAACAAGGTGCTATTCTGTTCCTCAGGATGTCTTTTGGGTGACTGACACTCAGAATCCCTGCCATTAAGTTTAAGGTGAGTATCACTGTTGGATGTGTTCACATCTAATAAGCTGCCAACAGTACACAGTGCTGTGTCCTGTCTAGTCCAGCATAACTGAGAGAAAAAGAGGGTTTTTTTCTGCAAGGCACACCAGAAGGCACCAAGAAAATCACCTACACATTATCATTCAGTTAAAGCATTGACTAAAATTGGGGTACAGCTGTGATGAGCACCCTATAGGAGTATTTTCACTGTCTAAAGTGGCATGGCTGGAAAAGGATAAAAGCATTAAAAAAAACTACATTCCCATTTTCAAAAATAAAAATCTGGCCTGTGAAGGACTGGCAAGCTGTCAAAAACAGTCTGTGATAGCCTCAAGGTAGAAAGATTTCCCAAGGATCACTCTAGTGCCCTAACTCCAAAACAACCCCTCCTCTCCAAAGCATCACTGTGAGTCCCAGTATCTGGTATAGAATGCCTTGGCTAATTTTACCTTTCTGAACACTGGTGGAAGCCTGAATAGTCATTTCAGACATTGGTATTGGCAAAATGGTGCAAATGAAAAACATTTACTGAAAGTTTCCTTGTACAGAGGAAGACTGCAATTTCGTGGTGGAAAAGGCACAAGACATTTTGCTGCAAGTGAGACTAACTAAAGTCAGAAAACATACTTCAAAATGAGTAGCAGTGACACACAGAGTATCATGCTCAAGTGGACTAATTCCTGCTGCCCTGGAAAGTATTATCAAAATGCTCCTATCTGCATGAGGTGGGGATGTGATTGATCAGTTTTCAGAATTTACCAGACCAAGGACCCCAGGGTACAAGAGGAAGTCCAATCAAAATGAGAATGTCACATAATGTTGTGATGCAACTTACACCTGAAGGTGATAAACAACAAATACATATATAATGAGTGCTTGATTTTACTGCTGTTGAATAAATCAGGCATTTTTGAAACTGTAAGAGGATGATACTAATCTTCCCTAAAATAAATTATTCACATCTTCTTTATTAGTTCTAAGTCACAGATATGCACTGCCTCTGACAGTTCCACAACACTCACATTAGGAATCATTCAGCTTCGAGTCATTCCTCTTCTCAGACACTTCACACCCAGCAGCAAATCAACTTTACCCTTACATGCTTTGCGTGTGGGATTTATTATGACAGTGAATAAGAATTCATCCTACTGTTGTTCCAAAAAACTGTAATATTTAGAAACTCAAATAAGCACCTTCTTTCCCAAAGCCTGTTGCATTTTTCATATCTGTAGACCGGATTTCAAGGTAGTTTGACCTATTTTGATACATAAATATGGCTAGATTTTCAAAAGTGTTCTTTATGCAGCAGCTCTTGTTGTAGTCAGACTTTCTAAAGAATCCAAGTATCCCAGCACTAAATCCTTTGGGAAAAAAAGTTATTTACTGTAGTACAAGGATCTGTACTCTTTTGAAACTCTGGCCCTGGTATTGAGTGCTACTCTCTTGTAAAGTCTTCAGTCTTTAACTGGTCTGATTCCTTCAGCATTTACACAGAAAGCTGGTGATATCTACTGCTGTGGACATCTGGGAAAGAGATACAAGCCAAATTCTTTATTTGTATTAGCTGGCAAGCATAATATATTTATAAAAGGAGAAGCATTCCTAAGCATCAGATATGATTATTTGTATTCTCCATACAGACCGTCTTACCCGTTTTATTATTCTACAGGGCGTTGGAATTTTACACTCAAGAAGCATCAATGCAGTACAGTGCAAGAACTTTATGCCATGAATAGCCACAGGACTGGTCAACTCTTTCCCCTAAAATTCTCTAAAATCACACAACTATTAAAATTAAATACTGTGTTTGTATTAGTAGCACAGTAACACACTGGGAGCTAGCTTCAGAAACTCTAGTCTTCAATCAGTTGAAACTTGAAATAGAGATGGGAAAAACCTGTGCCTTTGCAGAAGGCAAAAGCAAGAAAACAATGTGAAAGCAGCAGTATGAGTGCCAGTTTCTGGGAGTACAAAATATAGTGAATCCTGAGAATCCCAGGCTAATCTGTTCCTAGCTATACTATTCACCACACAGTGTCTAAGGATTTGTTTTAAGCCCTTTCCAAAGAGTCTGTCATCCCATTTTCTTGTCCAGAAAATGTATTATGTAACTGTAAATAAATGTTCAAATTATTTTAGCCATCATCAGAATGTCTTGTATTTGAGTATGACAGCCTTTTTCCCTGAAGATTATTTTAAGAAGTTGCATTTGTGGCCATTTTACTACATATTTTCAACTTCACAAACAGATTTCTCACTTTGCTGCTTTCTTGGGATTACAGAACTGATCTTTGTAAACTAAGCCCTGAACTGAAACTTGGGAAAAATGCAGATACATTTTACTATCTTTTTTCTTTTAATCCACGGGACCTCCAATTCAGTTTCTGTTATTGAAGATCAGCTAGTTTTATGACTTCTCTCTTGATATAACATCTTGCTTTCACCTCAGTTAAAATTCCTGTACAAGTCTCACTTCTATCACTATTAAAAGGGCAAAATAAAAGAAAAAAAATCCTGAAGAACTTTTTTCTATCTTATCTCTTTACTCACTGAATGTGTAATTTTGGATGTGTGAGTAAACAATAGTTCTTTTCCACTTTTAACCACCCAGCATATGATATGCTGCAAAACAAGGCAGAGATGTTCCAGCTACTTGAAACTGCACCTGTTCTGAGTGTTTTGAGAGCAACATTTCATAGTAAGGACCCGGTCATGGGATGCTTGGGAGCCCTCAATTCCAAGAGTCCCCACAAAATGCAGATGGGATATATCTCATATATAGATACTGCACACAATCTGTATGGGGGAGCTCCGTCTTCAAATCTTGCTACATGTGGATTTTGAAAAGTTTGTACAGATTTTGAAAAAATTTTGCCCAATAAAACTCATTACTTCTTATACTGCAAAAGAAGGAAGAAAAGGATGATTGAATCAGTTGGTGAATCTGAAGCATGTTATAAAAAATTAACATAAAAATGTGTGCCAACAAAAGAAAGGTAAACACAATGCAAACATATTAATTCATTTCCTTCACAACACTACAGTTAAATTTCCAAGCTTTAAGCTGTTTTAATTTAATGCACAGAAATACTTTTTCCACACGTCTGCCATTCTCCTGTGATTAGGGGAAACAAATACAACTGTATGTTACAGTCCAAGAATATCTTAAAATATTTACACATTTGCCTCCCCAACTTCACAAATCCAGTATTTTTAATGCAAGCTACTAATCAACTCATTCACAGTGACTAATTTCCTCAAGTACTTAATGGTGGCTATTATGACAACCAAGGATCATGGGACTAGATCCCTAAGAGACAAGGTCAGACCAGTAAAATTAGCCATCTGTCCAGTAAGGGTTTTAAGCTCAGGCTGTATTTAAGTATTAAGTTTCCAACTGTACAGGCATTTGTTTTCTTCTCATATGAGCACGAAAAGGTACAATAGTGATTCTAAAAACCAGAAACAAAAATCTTTCAATACTGTGGGATAGATACAAAAAGGATCTAAAGCTGCACACACTTTGTGAGATAGGCAGATCTTACTAAACTTTTTGTATTTTCAGCTGAACTGATCTAAGTGAACTCAGTGATAAGAGTCAGTGTTGGTCACACAGACTCCAGGACAGTCCCAGTTTTGAGACAGTCCCAGGCATAGTTATCTTCTCTTAGCTCCGCAATTTGTAAAGTATACAGAATGTCAAACTTCACCATGCACTATGTCTCATCTCATTGTTTACATTTTACCTTACTGTTTCATATGCTGCAGACTGTAAAAGGGTTTTAACAGACTCCGGGTTTTAACTTTCAACCTCTAAGGGCTGTGCAGGACCTCCTTGATCAGCGTGCAAACCTCCCGTCGACAGCCGTGGGAACTCTCCCACAGGAGACGGGCAGCGCTCAGCCAGGAGAAGGACCAGGAGGCACACCACATACACGGCAGCCACATTTCTGGGACAAAATCATTGCTTTTCTAGTAATTTTTTCCCCCACATTTACTACTCTGTGTCTTAGGTTATTCACCGCCACAGCCACGGAACAGCCTTCCCGGCAGGTCACCCCTGACTGGCTTAGAGGTTCACCTGGCTTCTAACTCTGCTCACGCCTCACCGCAGGTAACGGGATCCAGGGAAAACCGGATCAAATTTTTGCCTATTTCTTCCGCAGTAGCTGCAGCCTGGTCCTGTTTTGGGAATCGAGCGCGCCCACCGGCACTGGGCAAGATGTCGGAGGAAACGGGTCATACACCGACCCGGCAACTTCACGGATCCCTGCCATTGCCTGGGCATCCTCTCTTCTCCGTGGGAGGGCGGCAGGGCTCGCAGGGAAGGGCGAGGAGCGGCGGACTCCCCGCCGGGCGCCCGGAGCTCCGGGACGAGCTCCCTGACCGGGGGCGCGGCCCGACCTGCGGCGCTGCCCCGCTGCCCACCGGGGGCTGCCGCCCGGCCCGCTGCCGCCCGCGCCCGACCCGGGGCAGCCCCAGCGCCAAAGGGACGCGAACTTGGCCGGTGCAAGCGTGTCGCGGGGCGGGCACCCCCCGTCTGGCGCTGCCGCCCGTCCTACCTTGCCGGCGGGGGATGTTCCTGCGCGGCGTGGCCGCACACCCGATGCACGAAGCCAGGAGCAGCACCAAGGCGAGGCAGCGGCGGTGACAGCCGCCCGGCACCTCCATGTGCGCCGAGTCCCCCCGCCCGAGCGAGCGGGGAGCTGGGGCCGCTGGCCGCGGGCGAGGGGCGGCAAGGAGCGGACAGCGGGGCTGGGACGCGCGCCGGGCAGGGACGGGGAGGGACGGAGGGAAGGGGGAGGAGGCTGGGTCCGGCCCCTTGATGGGATTACGGCCGCTCGGCGCGGGGCACGGCTCGGCGCCTCCCCCGCGGGGCGCCGCCGCCCCGGCTCGCCCGACCCAGTCCCGCTGGAGGGGTCGCGGCGTCCCCTGCCGGGAGGCCCCCGCGCCGCCGGGGTCGCTCGGCAGCCCGGCCCTGCCCGCGGGGAGGGCGCTCAGGACGCCCCCCTGGGTACCATGGGGCACTGTGTCACCCCTTCCTCAGCGAGGACCCTGCCGCCCCCCGCCTTCGGCCCCGATGCGCCCTGCGCGACCCCAACCCCAGCGCGGCTCTCCCCAGGGAGCATCGGCATTTGTCATGGGTTTCTTCCTTTTTTTTTCCCTCCGAAGGTGCGGGGCTGAAATGCTAGCCAACTGCTGGGGCGAAGGCGAAGCTAGGAAGAGGATTTGGTGAGGAAATTGTTGCTGAATTAAGAGGATAAATTAAGTTTAATCCCCACCCCCCAGATGGAGGCTGAGACCTATCCAGCCACTCAGACTAATATAGAAACCCCTTTGGAGATTAGAGGGGATGGGGAGGGCAGGGGGAGGAAGGCAAAGGGAAGTGCTGGAGTTTGACTATATCAGAAAAAAACTGAGATAAACAAGAAATCCAAAGCATCTCTTCAGAGCAATGAAACATTGGTGGGATGAAGGACCAAATCCATTTGGTTCAGTATCCCATCTTTGAAATTTAAAAGACAGAAGGAAGTGCAGAAACTTTGTATTAGCAGACATGAGATTATCTGTCCTCTGCTCCAGGTCTCATCCTAAGCTTGGTTAGTTAGAGATCAGTATAAACCCTGAAACACCAGAGTTGTTATGTCTTGAGGGTTTGTGTGGGCTTTGGTTTAGAAATTTGCTTCATTTGTTTATTTTGTTGCTTGCTTTGATAACTTTCAGTGGGTTTGATGTCCATATAAATTATGTATGTTTATACAGTCTCTGCAAATCTGTAAAACTGATACTCTGTTCAATGAGTTCCATGCTGTAATTTTTTGACATGCGGAGAAAAACCAGGAAGAGATCAGAAGAAAAGCTGTCTCTCTGTGGGAGCAATGCTGATATAGGAAAATAAGGAAATCTGTACCTCTTTAGGGTATGAGAGGAGATAAGGAAATGGTGATGAAGTCCTTTTGGACAGAAGATCGGAGGAAGGGAGTTTGATCCTCTATTCTGCAAAAGTACTGCAAGTACCTCATGAAGAAGTTAGAGGCAGTAATCAAAGGGTTTAGGAGAGAATGGAGAGGACAGCCCTTGCCTATGTCAGAAAAGTAGAGGAGAGAGAAACCTGGTCCTCCTAGAAAGGGCATCTTCCAAGTTTCAGAGTGATCACTGCCAGGAGAATATGCTCGAGGCTAAAGGAATTAAAGATGAGGAGTAGTTTTGTTAGCATGATTGGGATGCCAGTGGTATGTCTGTCTCACACTCTTTATCAGTCTGCCTTTGCAGGGACAGAGGAATTGCAGTACATGTGGGAGAGCTGCAGGGCTCATGGCAGGAATTCCTGGCAGGGTCAGTAACTGTGGTGTGCTAAGAAACTGCAGTTCACAGGGCAGAGGATGTACTCTGGACTCCATATTTGCCCAAAAGGCACATTGACTGCTCACCCATTGACAAAAATGGCGAGCAGATCACAGCCAAGGGTGGAGAAAAGCAAAGCCTGTCCTTTATATATACTCCAAGTAATTGTGGTTTGTACAGTGTGCTGTCATCAAATTCATTACAATTTCTGCTTTTCTTTTTACTTGATCTCCTTCCTCCCTTCCTTCACTCCCCCAGTGCTTTCCTCTGACTTTCTTTTCTGGCAGTACTCATAATAACCACTGTAGTTTGTCTTCTCACATGTGCCTATCTACCCGAAGTATTCTGTGATTAAGTTGTAGTTGGACATATTGAGGCCAAAATTATTGGAACACCAAAGTTGATACTGCTGAGTTTCAGGCATTTATAAGATTCAGACAGATTTAGTAATTTTAATTACAGTTTTAGGAGATTATCTCTGCAGCCATGTAAGCTGGCAACCTGCCTTCTGCTGCGATGAAGCAGGATATTCAGTTCTGGATGTATGGAGAGGTGCTCTTCCTGAAAATCCTACCAACAAAGGTAATCCACCACAAGCCTGGTGAATTCCCTCTGAATAACAACATGATTCCCAGTGGCTTTCTCACTGTTAAGATTTTTACACTCTCCTCATTGGCATAGTCCCTGTTGTCTTCCAGTAGCATATTGATTAAAATTAATAAAACTTGGCACATTAACTTTGTTAATGCAACCTCTATCAGAGGGAGAAGCATTTTGGTGGAGTGTATAGAATTAAAGATTAGAATTTTGTTTAAAAGATAAACGTATGCCTTGCTATTTGTTGATCTGGGAGATGGCAAGATGAGTTACATGAACATTTGACACTGCTGAGTTTTGTGCCTGTCTCAGACCAGCTTGTGAGATACAGCATCATCTTACAGACAAAAAATTACCTTTATCATGGAGGAGTCTGTTGTACCAGAAAAGCACAGTTACTAATTGTACCTCTTGTCAGCATATTCTTCCAGCTGCTTCTGCTTGTCCTCACCTGAAACTTGTTCTGCCTGGATTTGGCTCTAATCTGTGGTCTGCAGTTTGATTCAGCCTCAGAGCCACCTCTATACCAGTGATGAGATTTTTGTTTAGTTCCAGAGAATATGTAAAATATCCTTCAGGTGCCTGGTTCTCCAGTGGTTGTAAATACTTGTTGATAAGGACTGAGACACAGTCTTTCAAAAGTCCGTAAACCCAGGAGTCTAGGTGGTGGAGGCAATTTTCCATCATTATCTCCTCCAGGAAAGATGCTAACTAAGCCAGCACATTAATTTGGATATACTAGCCCTGTGTTCAGGTTGCATATTCCATTCTTTCTCTTGCTCTGTAGCTCTGGGAAGGAATCAGACTCTTGTCCACAATGTTTCTTACTCAGAGAAGCAAAGGGATACAACACAGAGAATTTTCCCCTCACCTCTTTTCCTTAAGAGGCAACACATATGCGTACAGCAATAGGGATACAAGGAATGATGTCCTGGGAAGGCAGGAGAAAGTGTGTTTCATACTTCTATGTACTCAGACCTTTCTAAAAGCTCTACATCCAAAAGGATCAACTTGATTCAGCTTGCAGCTCCATTAGCCTGTTACATCAACTTGTGATTTCCAAGTGCCAGAACCTAGAGCCACCTCTTTTCCTTGAAAAGGCAAAAATAGATATAAATGCAAAGGACCAAATTTTCAAGCATGGCCTCCCTTTCAGGTTTTGGAGGTCCAGTGTAACAGGATTTCATTTTTTTGCGTAAATTTCAAAGTTGTCACATCAGGACTCTCTAAGGAACAAAGTGTATGTAGTAGGCATCTAGACCATTACTCATTCATAGTTAAAAATAGATCCCTACACTTATTTTTAACACCTGATTTTACAATAAATCATTGTGGAAGGACCTAAAACAGGATGTTTACCCCAAAACTATTTGGTAGAAGCAAGGAAACCGGGCAATTAAGTGAGCAGATGGAGAGTCTGGGTAGCAGAAGGATCTGGCCAGCGAGGTTAAGCAGGCTTTTTCACTGTGATTCATGGGGGTAGAAGGGCCTCGTCTTTGCCTTGGAGCTTGTCTTCACTTGAAAGAGGAGTGTAAATTTATAACATTTTCCTGAGTTGCTCAACATGTGGATACATTTAGTCCAGAATAGGATTAAAAGAAAAACAGTGAAAAAGTCTTTTGAGATAGAAGTGTACAAATGGGGGTGTCTCATGTTGAAATGGGATATTTTATACCTTTATAATTCTTTTTATGATTAGAGTATAGGGGGCAGATTAAGACATTTGGAATCTGGATATTTGCATAATTATGAAGAATGGATTATTTTCCCATTAATCAAAGCTTTAAAAATTCTGTTGTTCTCCCTCTTTTTTTTTTTTTTTTTTTTTTTTTTTTTAACAATCAGAATTTTTTTAAAGAAAAGTTCCAAATATGTAGCATTGTGTCAATTTGTTCATGACCCAGTATAGATTTTTGTCAGGAATTTTTCACAGGTTCTTCTCAAAGGAAGATAATAAACTTTTGACCTATTAAGGTCCTTTTAATATACCAAGGTCACTCTATCTATTTTACCATCCTGGTATTTATTCCAATGAGATACTGATTAAGAGTTATACCAATCTGTATATGTGTTAAGTAGAATTACATAGAAGACAAGACCTTTTTATTGACTTTGGTAACTTCATAAATTTATGGAAAATGGAAGGACTATTACTTACTAGTTTTCAAAATTAAAACTCAAAAATGTCATGTCACTTAAAACCATCAAACTTTAATTTAGCAAGTCACATTTAGTCTTGTAGCAATAACAAGCAAACCAATGGTAATTTGTATCTTATTATTAAATTAGAAACCAGTGGTGTTTCATAAATGAATATATTTGTTGCTTCTACTAATCTTTATAATAAATAATTGCCTAATTTTCAAAATGCCATAGATAAGCACAGAGTGCATATGACAATATCTCACTTAAAGCCATAATTCTTTTGCATAAACTGGTTTTTCCTGGCTTAACTAAAGAGTGTCTTGGGTAGAGCTGTTCCAGCCAATGAACATCTGAACATTAGGAAGTTTGGGCTGCCTGCATAGTTGGTAGGGCTTCTTCCTTAGCATATTATTAGGAAACACATAAAGGTCTATGTAAATTTAAACTACATTGAAACAGGGAAGGGATGAGTTTATCCTATTAGGTTCTTGGCTTCTGACACCATCAACTTATTTTAGATCTGGATCTCAACTGAGTCTTCAAAGCTCTTTCTTTCTTTACGTTTTCCAGAAGACAGACTATGAAGCCCTGATTTAATTCATTTAGGGGAAGGAACCCAAGACAATCCCTTCCTGCCATTTACTCATATCTTAATATAAAAACAACTGCACCTCAGAGACATATTACACATGGACATGTACTAAATGCTGAAAAGCAAGACCAAACAAACAGCAATAGCCTTCTATTGTCACGTCAATAAATATTTGATATATATTTATTACCCAAACTGATGGTGTGGAGTCCATCAGCCTCACCAAGGGCTCAGATTTTTTCTGTCCCCCCTTGTCTCTCATATGGACTGGCTGTAGCATTGCCAGAAAGCACACATGAGCATCTGCAAGCAATGACTGTGCTACAGAGAAGAGAGTCTTTGCAACCTTCATTCGTGTGCTGTCTGCTCTTTCTCCTAGCCTCCCTGCCTCCTGCTGTATTCTGGGCTAGTTTTTGGTCCCTCCATCTCTTCGCTTCCTATGACATTTCAGGATGTTTTTTCTAAATACATTTCACAGCTTACTTTGTCCCTCGTACTCCATCAGGACTTACAAAGCACAGCCAAGACCTGTAGCTCTACACACAGAGACCAGGACACAACATAGAAAAGCCTCGTTGTGGCCCAGACTTCTGAGCATGCCACAACTAGATGCTGAGAACAAAAATGGGAGGATGTGAGCAACAAGAAAAATAGTGGTTACAGCCCTGCAGTCATCTGGCCAGTATAAAACATTGCATTCCTCATTGTTGTCTCACTCTTTTGCCCGCACTAATTTTCACTTTTTATTTTATGCCACATTAGTACTTATCATCTTATCAAGTGTTCTTCCCTAACACACTGTACATTTTTTATTAGTCACATTTTGCAGTATATTTATAATTAAGATCATCTATATTTATACTTTATAATAATTTATAATGAAGAACTAGTATTCATTACACTGCTAAAACAATAGGATTACAGGGAATAAACAGTAGGTGTTCTGTTTGTGGGCCAACTTTTTTACTTTGTTTAAAATTTAAAATAAATGTGATTAGGAGTGAGCACAATCACTCATTTGTGCCAGCACTCCAAAATGGATGTTGTAGTCTATGTGTTCAAATCCTAAAATGTAATCCTGTAGTTTCTTTTGGTAAATATTACTTTTTCTGACTCCTGTAGCAAAGAATTTGACAGCTCTTTGGTCATAGATTAGGGTTTCAATGTGCTACAGATGTCCAAAGTAAGCTCCAAAGACCATTGAATCTGAGTAAGTTTAACTACAAGATCGGAAGATTCTTAGGCAAAGGAGCCCCGTGGAAATGGGGCCCAGCAACATGTGGGGTAGCTTGTGAGAGCCAAACCTGACACTTTTTATTTATGAGAAAGCTATTTAGTTATTCTTTCTGTCAGAAAGAATAACTGTCCACTTGTGTGTCGATTTGTAGGTTCTTGGTTTAATAACCTTGTTTTCTTATTCCTTTCTTCTTTTTTGGCTGTGTTTTGGTAAGGTGGGGAAAGCATTGCTTTGAACTCACTCTTTACAGTGTCCGTCCTTTATTCAACTCATAAAGAAACAGCCAGAAGCACAAAGACCAAAATACCAAAAAAAAAAAAAAATCTCGCTTAAGAATATAAGCATATTTTTATGCATCTCTCTCACCCTTTCATCTCAGATAAGTCAATAATTCCCAGGTTTATTCCTGGTGATTTAGCAGAGCAAGTTCTCCTCTTGCCAAGTCAGTTCTTTGGACGTATGGTAAATGCAATGAAAAGCAGCAGAAGGAAGAAATGTGGTCTTTTGCAAACTTGATATTGCTTGAGACACTCATAAACTTTACATGCAGCAAATATTAAATATTTATTATTTGTAAGTGTGGGAGGTGTCAGAAAAAAGATGGGTTTTTGTCTTTTCTGTTTATGATAATGATATAATGAAAAATAAATGATCCACAATGCTCTGAGGAGCTCAGGACGCCATCTTCATATTTGTTTTCCCATTTCAGTCCTTCTGCTGTCTCAAAAAAAAGTGACTTCAAAGATTGTCTTTCATTGTCTTTCTGTTTAATATAATATGTATCATTATGCATATTATATAATATGTGTATCTCCCCGTCCTCTCATCTGTTAACTTCATAGACTGGTGTATAACTCCTGCTTAGGATATAATTTCCCAGGATATTTTTCCCACATTTCTGATCAGAATTTCAGAAACACAGAATGGGTCAGGTGGGAAGGGCCACTGTGGGTCATCTGGTCCAA